TTATAGATGGGGTTGTAAAGGAAGTAAATACTAGGGTGTTCGGGAGAGGGGTGGGATTAAATTTTGGGGAATCAAATTCAAAATGGGAATTGACACAGTTACTTTTTGCTGATGATACTGTGCTTATGGGAGATTCTAAAGAAAAATTGCAAAGGTTAGTGGATGAGTTTGGGAATGTGTGTAAAGGTAGAAAGTTGAAAGTGAACGTAGAAAAGAGTAAGGTGATGAGGGTATCAAACGATTTAGATAAAGAAAAATTGGATATCAAATTGGGGAGGAGGAGTATGGAAGAAGTGAATGTTTTCTGATACTTGGGAGTTGACGTGTCGGCGGATGGATTTATGAAGGATGAGGTTAATCATAGAATTGATGAGGAAAAAAAGGTGAGTGGTGCATTGAGGTATATGTGGAGTCAAAAAACGTTATCTATGGAGGCAAAGAAGGGAATGTATGAAAGTATAGTAGTACCAACACTCTTATATGGGTGTGAAGCTTGGGTGGTAAATGCAGCAGCGAGGAGACGGTTGGAGGCAGTGGAGATGTCCTGTTTAAGGGCAATGTGTGGTGTAAATATTATGCAGAAAATTCGGAGTGTGGAAATTAGGAAAAGGTGTGGAGTTAATAAAAGTATTAGTCAGAGGGCAGAAGAGGGGTTGTTGAGGTGGTTTGGTCATTTAGAGAGAATGGATCAAAGTAGAATGACATGGAAAGCATATAAATCTATAGGGGAAGGAAGGCGGGGTAGGGGTCGTCCTCGAAAGGGTTGGAGAGAGGGGGTAAAGGAGGTTTTGTGGGTAAGGGGCTTGGACTTCCAGCAAGCGTGTGTGAGCGTGTTAGATAGGAGTGAATGGAGACGAATAGTATTTGGGACCTGACGATCTGTTGGAGTGTGAGCAGGGTAATATTTAGTGAAGGGATTCAGGGAAACCGGTTATTTTCATATAGTCGGACTTGAGTCCTGGAAATGGGAAGTACAATGCCTGCACTTTAAAGGAGGGGTTTGGGATAGTGGCAGTTTGGAGGGATATGTTGTGTATCTTTATATGTGTATGCTTCTAGACTGTTGTATTCTGAGCACCTCTGCAAAAACAGTGATAATGTGCGAGTGTGGTGAAAGTGTTGAATGATGATGAAAGTATTTTCTTTTTGGGGATTTTCTTTCTTTTTTGGGTCACCCTGCCTCGGTGGGAGACGGCCGACTTGTTGAAAAAAAAAAGTGAAAATAACAATATGTACAGTGGTGATAAATTTCAACTGCTTAAGTATGGTAGGAACGAAGACCTCAAAAAGCACGTAGGCCCTATCACGGAGTAAGGATCAGATTATATCTGTCATTTGGAAAATATAATAAGGGAAATGTGGTAATGGTTTAAAAAATAACAAGGTTGATTATGAGGACTTTCAAATCAAGAAAAGCATTTTGAATGCTCACATTAATATTATTCTGTGCTATGTGTGCCTTTGAAAGTAAGAGACAGCAGAGGTGAAAAATGTACAGAGGACGTACACTGCCTGAATGGAAATATAAAGTATAAACTGTTGGGAACGCCTTAAAGCCATTAAATTTTCAATCTGAAACGAAGAAAAGAGAGATACCTGATAACATATACATTAGGGATGTTTAATGGCCTGATTTCTAACCTGCAAACTGCTGTGAAAACTTATTGGATGAAAGATATGGGAGAAAGGGTGGAACAAACCCGGTGAAGAGCAGGGAGGCCGTAGATACAATTAGAAGACATTGTGTCAACATCCATTGCTGTAGACTCCTTATCTTACCAGCCCGTGTATGATGGGTATGTGGTCTTCGAGGCTGCTAGCACAGTTTGTTAGACCAGGAAGTCAACAGGGAATCCTGACCTCAGGACCGGCCTTAGGCGGAAGAACAGTCCTTCAAATCGGTCACGGGTAGTAGTAATAGTGGTTGTAGTAGTAATAATAATGTAAGTAGTATTGAGTAGTAGTAGAAGTAGCAATAGCAGTAGCAGTAGTGGTGGTAGTAATAATAGTACTATTTGCAGTAATAGTGGTAGTATTTGCAGTAGTAATAATAGCAGTGGTACTGTTTGCAGTAGTAATAATAGAAGTGGTAATTGTAGTAGGAGCAGTGGCATTAGTGGTACTAGTAGTAATAGTATTAGAGATGGTTGTAGTAGTAGTAACTGTAAAAACAGTAGTAGCTGCAGTTCTAGTAGTAAATGTAGTAGTAATAGTGTAGTAGCAGTACTAATAGTAGTAGTCGCAGTAGTGGTAGGAGTAGTTGTATCAGCAGTAATATTAATAATAGTAGAAACAGTATTCTTAGTAGTAGTAGTAATATTAGTTGTATCAGTAGCAATATTAAGAGTAGTAAAATAGTGTTAGTAGTAGTCGTCGTATTAGTGGTCATGGTAGTTGACGTAATGGAAGATGTAGCAGTATTAGTATTTGATGTTACAGTAGTAAAAGTAGTAGTATTAGCCATGGCAGTAACTGTAAAAGTAATTGTACGCTAGTACAGTAGTTGTAGTAGTAGTATGGGTAGTAGTAGTAATAGTAATATGGGTAGTAGTAGTAGCAGTAGTATGGGTAGAAGTAGTAGTAGCAGTAGTAGTCGTGGTGAGTAGTTGGTGCAGTAATAGTAGCAGTAGTAATAATAGTAACAATAGCAGTGGCACAATTAATAGTAGAAGCATCATTATAATCATCATTGTCATCATTATTATTATCTGCCACAATTATTATTATGCAAATAATTGCAGAACTCTTATCATCATTTTTTTAACACCAGTTACTCCGCATGCATACAGAGATTTGACAATGATTTGAATGTAAGAAGATGATGGAAACGGAAAGCTGGAAGAGTCGTGCCTATTTGTTTATCTTTCGTACATCCAATTAGCCTTGTGGATAGTCTTTAGCAGCCAGGGGTCGGCGGTCCCATCACTCCATTTCTCTCAGTATTGAAAATGAAATATCTACTTAATAAACAGTGGTGATAAGTCCCTCTACTACCGTAAAGTTACTCTTAGTATTCTTACATTTTATACTGCAAAGGAAGTCCTGACATAACACAGGAGTCATGATAACTAGAGGACCTATTTGTCAGTAACACTGGGTGTAAACCTTTGTTTAAGGATTGACCAGACGCGAGGTGCCTTCATTACCGCTGAGCCACGAGTGTAAAACTTCTTTCCAATCAGCAACCAACGCTGCATAATCGATGGTTTTAAGAAGGCTACTGCAGCTGCCCAAATAACATTTTCACAGGAAGAATCAAAGCTACACGGGAAAACGAGATCATAGATTAAATATGCATCACTCCCGTCCATGGAGATTGTGCAACATCGAGTAACTGATTATCGATCCTGCAACCTGTCGAAGGACAGATGTAAGGATGGAACGCTCGCTTGACGCTGGAAACACTTGTGATAGGCGCCAGCAAGTGCTTAAATTGTCTTTTTCAGATGAAGAACCGAAGTCACACGAAATCCACGACAGCACTTGAAAATCATCTTTTTCAAGAGATATGTGAGTGTATGTATGACTGTGTGGGTGAGAAAGAAATAGATAGATAAATAGAGAGAGAGAGCGTGTCTCAGTTTAAGTAAACAAGCACAATAATTATTATTAATATTCAATGAATTAATTGGTGATAATTACATATAACCCGAGAGACAAATGTGTAGTGTAAGATAATCATAATGTACTTGGACAGACTAATAATGACGATGGTGGTAGTGGTGATTGTGGTTATGCTGCTGATGGTGAAGCTGTTGATTGTGTTAGTAATGCTAGTGATGGTGGTGATGATGATATCGATAATGATGGCGTTGGTGGTATGTCTTATGATGGTAGTTGTATTACAAATGATGGTGATTGTATTGCTGATACTAATGAGAGTAATGGTAATACTGATTTTGGTAGTAATGATAATGCTGTGGATGGTACCGATGATGGTGCCAGTCATACTGATGCTGGTGGTGTTAGTACCAATGATGGCAGTGCTTGGGAAAAGAGCTATGTTGGTGGTGGTGGTGATATAGATGATAATGGTGTTATTACTGATGATGGTGTTGATACAGGTAACTGGGATCTGCTTAAGGCTACTCTACACATCTTGCTACTGTGTGTACGCAAAGGATGGAGATGGTGTTTCAGCCAACTAATGGAAAGAGCGAAAGTGATGCCTCCGAGAAACAGTCTCACGATGAACTGTTCACATTTATCAAAGAAGTGTTCGCCATTGCGGCTGAAGTGCCTCTGACTGACTTCACATATAAACTGATGTAGGGTATAAATGCTTCTAGTTTCCCCAGGAAAAAGACGTAGCAAAGAAATATTTTAGTCACAAGCCTGATAATGGGTTTGAAGGAACACTTCACATTATTCTGAGTGACAAGGGAATAACTCCTCTAATATTTTGACAGCCTTACTATATGTGATCCTGAATAAGCATATGATGCATTCAAAACAGAAATGCATATTTTAAAGTTGGCGAGGAGAGTATAGACAAAGTAACACTGCTTGCTGCAGTGTTCCTTCACTCTTCTGTTCTTATGAGAAGAGAATGCTAATCTCTCAACATTCTGGAAATGCTAAGTGAACATATTCCATATCTTGCTTCGTGCTAGGTGAACTATCAGTATTACCACTGATGGCAGTGTTAAAAGTGATGGTGTTGGCGGGAATACTGAAGAGAATGGAAGTTATACTGGTGGTTGAGGTGGTAATGCTGATGATATCGTGACAATACCGATGATAGTGGCAGAAATACTGATGATGGTGGTACTAATAATGATGATAGTGGAGGTAATGCTGATAATGGAGATGTCAATAATACTGATGAAGGTGATGGTAGTAATACTGATGAAGGTGATGGTAGTAATACTGATGATTACGTGTTAGTAAAATTGATGATTATGGTGGTGGTAGTTGTAATACTGATGATGGTAGTGACATTATTGATGATGTCGACAGACACTACTACAGTTCCTAAAACACTCTTGAGGTTACCGCACCATGGCGCCTCTGAAGCTCGTCCTGCAAGACCAACACATTGAGCGGTGATGCCAGGTCTCCCCCGATTGCTTGACATTCCCGCCGGGCTGCATTCCAGCTCAAGCGGCGGTGCACTACGTCTTGGAAGCAACTCTCCCCAATCTGGAAAAATCCCTCAAAGCACCTTGATTCTGAAAAGAAAACCATCGAAGGTATAAGAAACTGTCATGGATCAATCTCAGGTAGGTTATGAGAGTATAAATTTTATTAAGATAATAGTTCACCAGCTTTTTTTTTTTAATATAATACACGTTGAGGAATGTACAATAGCAGAGATGGAGAAGTGTAAAGGATGTAAGGGATGTGGAGTACAAAGATTTCACGAAAAAAATCAATACATTCTGATAATCACATTCACTATAAATCACCGGATTAGTTCTTAAAAATATGCGTGATCCTAAATTAAATTTTTTCAGTATTTTTTTTTTCAAAGGAAGAGGCTTTTGATAAAGCGGTTTTCAATATAAAACAGCCAAACAAGATAACTCAAGCCCATTGAAATAACTAGATACGAAGTACAGAAACTGTAAGTGCTGTTTAGTTAAGGAAATAAATATTTGCATACGTTTTAATTTATTCAGCAAGCAGCTTCGCCAATCTGGAAGCAATATTTACCTTTTGGACTCACTATGACATTGGCTCTACAAAGAGCTGTAGCAAGAAGGAGGCAAACCACTTGGTGACAGGAACCCATCCTTACTAAGCAATCTTCATCAAGAGCCACTGAGAACAAACCTTCATCCGGGGTTCTCGTGTAGAGCGATCTTCGCCAGTGACTTGGCAGGAACTCTGAAACAGGAAAGAAATATCTAGCGGCTCTAAAAGTGAGCGAATTTTTAAATAGTTCTGAAGAATAATTATATTCAACGTGTGAGGAAGGGTTGCAACAGCCCTTCAGTAGGTGAGGAATAATTCTCTGCCCTTTGGGTACCTATTAGAATTCGGGGAACATAAAATGATAGAAGAAGAAAGAACATATAAGAAAAGACAAAAGAGGAATTTGCATATCAGCATTTTCTCCAAGTGTAAGCTCAATACTGGTGTTGCATAATCTAAGGTGAACCTGACGCATGTTATATAGAGGGATCAAATGACTCTGTTGAGAAGTCTCAGAAGTGGGGGGGGGGGCTAACTTTTCCTCGTAGGAGAGGTTAGCTCCGGGACTAGTCTTGTTGCAAGCCTTTACGCTTTCTCTAATTTCTTGACGTGCTTGACCAGGTGTGGGTTCCATACTGGTGCTGCATAATCTAATATAGGTCTGATGTACACGGTGTACAGTATTTTGAATGACTATATGATACATCAGTTATTACGTTGATGTGCGCACGTCACCCCAGGATCCTTTTCCTTGAGTGAGCCTTGCTGCCTTTGGCTCTCCAGCATGTACTCTGCGGTCTTCTTTGACCTTCCCCAGTCTTCACGTCTTTGTATTTGGTGGGGTTAAACCCCAGGAGTCAGTTGCTTGACCAGGCTTGCAGCTTGTCCAGATCCTTTTTTAGTCCTACCTGATCCTCGTGTGTGTGTGTGTGTGTGTGTGTGTGTGTGTGTGTGTAAAAGTTAATTTTCCAGAAGAAATTTACAAACGTAACATCGATTTTTGAAATGAAATCGAAAGTGCTTTCTAGTAATTATTAATAACTCGTCGATCTTGAGTTGTTAGAAGATTAATTTAAACATTTCCAGATTAAATAATGCAGAGTTTCGCAGATAAAATCGCTCACTAATGACGAATGTTCTTGATTTTATTTATATTTTTTTTTACTCAGGGTGAAAAGAAGAAAAAAGACAAGTTGCACATGGATCAGAATTATAAGGCACAATATCGTGACTGGAACAATTAAAAAATGATTTTCACTTGGGAGAGGAACCTTGTGACGACATTTCGGTCTCATTATCAAGTTGCAGTAGGCCGTGCTGTGACTTGACAATGGACCAGGAAGGACCGAAACTTCGTCATAATGTTTCTCTGCTATGTGTGGGTCATCTGTGATTTATACATAAATGCACAGAAAGTAAACGATGAAGCTCCATCTGAAAGACTTTTCTCAAAAGAATAGCTACGGTATAAAATAGTGTGTAATAAAATGATGGTAAAATGCGATTATCTGCTGTCCTTAACAAAAACGAATCACTACTGCTAGAGGCTACACGCGACGGAGTAATTAATCTTGTGGCCCTCACTATAGGTAACAAGTGGCTTTACCTATTTAGTAGTGTGCCACAGAGATCGTTCTTGGGACTGTCGATAGGCGTAACTAGTTTTATGCTAGATGGAGTTATCTTGTTACCTTCGGTAAATGTAACTAGTGTTAAGCCACAAAGGTCTTTCTTGTGAACGTCGCTAGACGTAGCTGGAGGTTCATCACAGGGGGCAGTCCACTGGCCGGTTCTGTTCTTGATATACATAAACGATATCCATGCTGAGATATGATATGCAATATATCGAGATAAAAGTAGGGTGTAAAATATCGCTTAAATGGCTAAAACTGCAGCTCGACCTGGACATAGTAGTAAATTCGATTGATAAATAGCAAATTAATAGCATTACTGATTATTGCAAATTAATGCGTATTTGATAAAAGCAGGTTGGTCTGTGAACTCATCAGATTTAATGAAAGCAAATTAAAAGCAGCACATCTGGAATAATTTTGAAGTCAAGAAAATTGCTTTACCGAGGTAATAAAGCAAGTAGGCAGTGTACTAAGGTAGTAAATTAAGTAGGTAGCGTACGGAGCTAGTGTACTGAGACTACATGAAGTAGTAAACTAAGGCAACGTACTTAAAGAGGTAAACCAAGTAGGGGGTGTACTGCGGCAATTAACCAAGTAGGTGGTGTAATGAAAAAGTGAACTGAGGCAGTAAAGCAAATAGGCTGTGAACTGAAGCAGTTAATCAAGTTGACAATATACTGAAGCAGTAAACCAAGTAGGCAGCGTTATGAGGCGGTAACAAAAAATGCCAGCTAAGCATTAGAATTCATGCGTATTGGTGATGCGTCCTGAATGTTTTCCTTTTACTGTCCACGGGGATATGGGCTGCATAAAATTATGCCCAAACTGTCAGTCAGTCCTCTTCAAGAGTATTACGTACATTGTGATCACGACACTGGAGTGTGTCCAGCACCATACGAAAAAAAACACACGATGCCTAGACTAGGAAATAAATAGTATGGATTTTGTTTAAAAGGGCAGACTTTAAGCCTTCTGCTGCGAACACTGAGATTTATCTTACTATAAATATTTAAAATTTTCGAAGGACAATGTTTTTTTTTCTCACGAAAGTATGTTAATACGCCACAATTGTTATAAAATAATAAGATATAAAATTGCAATTTTTCTCACGAAAGTATGTTAATACGCCACAATTGTTTTAAAATAATAAGATATAAAATTGCAACTTAGTAAAATAAAATTTGTCTTCATTCGAGTGGTGAATATATATTGATCTTTATATGAAGAAATAATCGAGAGTATTAACGTATATATTTTGAAAAAGTTAGATAAACATACGTCAATAATTCTTGCATTCTTTGTTCTTCCTTAGAAGAAGGGTAATGAGTATAACGATATTGCTTAGGATGACAAGATAACCCAATTGGGGATGATCTTACCGTTGTCAGAAGCCAGAAAACACAGCCCCCAAGAGAGCAAAAAGGTACTTGGACCGCGCAACAGTGCAGGAACAAGTGCCCGAGAATGCCAGTCCTGTAACCATTATACAGGGAGGTGGCAACCCCTGGCAGCCACCTCCTCCCCATACTTATAAAAGAAATGTCGCAAGAAACACTATTCGATAATTTAAAAATGGTTGATGCAATATTTCGGTGTTGTTTTTGTTTACATGGATAGGGGATAGCTGGAAGGGATTAAGTAGGATATAAACAAACCATTTGGAGTCCGTTGTCATTTACCATAAAATTTTACAGTGTAGATTTCGCCACCGGATGTAAAGGAGATTGTGACTGAGTGCAACAACATTTAGCTGAGGCTACCCTCACTCACTTTGTCCTGGGCGAGAGAGAGAGAGAGAGAGAGAGAGAGAGAGAGAGAGAGAGAGAGAGAGAGAGAGAGAGAGAGAGAGAGAGAGAGAGAGAGAGAGAGAGAGAGAGAGAGAGAGAGACAGACAGACAGACAGACAGACAGACAGACAGAGAAACACAGGCAGAGAGAGGCAGACCGACAGACACAGGGCCCCCCCTCTCATCTGCGACTGCCTGACAGAGTAGTGAACAGAGCAAGACGTCTCATCTCTCGCCTGGACCGATCCTGGATAGATCTGTCATTTCAGCAGAGTCTTCAACATAGGAGGGATGTGGGTGGCCTTACTGTTATGTACAATGCCAATATTGTCAAAGTACCACACTTGGATCCACTTCGAGGACAGCGTGAAACAAGCTTTTATGCCACAAGACGGGCAGAAAGCAGAAACTTCACTCTGGCTGTACCCTTCTCCAGAACATCACTTCAATTAGATCATTTATTCCCAGGATGACTCGGGTCTGGAACACATTCGTACAGCATTATGATGTCAACGAGATAAAGTCAGTTGATCAAATGAAAATGTTGTCCCATAGATGGCTCTAACTTCATCCTGTTCCCTACTTGTATGTTACATAACAATAAAAATGCTTTCAAATGAGCTGACGTAGGTAACAGCTCTTAGCTTGTCAATAAAGTTAGCAATCCTTAACCTGTAAATATCTTGTCAATAAAGCTAGGGAACCTTAACCTAACCTGGTCAAACCCTGTGTAAAAAAAAGTCAGGCAGAGAGAGAGAGAGAGAGAGAGAGAGACACACAGAGAGAGAGAGAGAGAGAGAGAGAGACAGAGAGAGAGAGAGACAGAGAGACAGAGACTTAATTTGTGAAAAAATAGCCTTACAACACCTCTTGTATCTCAGTTTGTAATTATGGTTTCTTCTTGTCTATGTCGATTGTATTATTATTATTATTATTATTATTATTATAATCAAGGGGGAAGCGCTAAACCCGGAGGATTATACAGCGCCTGGGGGGGGGGGATGTGGAAGGCATTCAGGCTTAATTCGGGGAACTGGAGCACAGATCCAATTCCCTAAATCAAGAGCCCCTCACCAACATCAAGGAACCTTCCTTGAGGGGCATGTCGATTGTAAATAAGTAAGTTTATTCAGGTATACACAAATACAGTTACGTAGATTATCATACATAGCAGCATATGTGTAGAGAACCTGGGATAACCCAAAAATCAGACAGAGTGACTTATTATTTACTATCTTGTATCCTCTCTTGATGTTATGTGCGGTTGTTCTGTATATTTTTTACGTCGTGTAAACCAAAGTGGACCCTGCATGTGTTTTCATTCTTTCTGTTTCAAGGAGGCCATTTTATATTACCTCCACTACAAACACCGCCACCTCGATCACATCCATCACCATCACCGTGGTTATCATAACGCCTACCACTGTCACCACCACATTCAGAGCTATCTTGATCAGTACCTTCAGTATTTCCACCGTCACTACCAATACATTTACCACCATCACCACCACTGCAACAACCACCAGTACTATCTCCACCTCCCTGATCTCTCGTCTTTCTCTTCTCCTTCCTACCTACTCTCTCTCCTCTCCATTCTAAGAGCCTTGCTCTTCCCCATCTATCTCACCTGGCGTCCCTCCAGTGTTTGCTTCTCGTTACGTCAGATTATCGCACATTCGCTCCCTAATTTCAACTAGTCGAGATCTGACAATTCCTTAACTTTATTACTGTTACGACCTTTAATAGTTTTAAATTAAAAAAAAAACCCGTATTGAAATTTTTCACTCTTCTTCATGGAGGAATTTTTTGGGTGACTTATGTTTATCCTCTTGAATGTGTAATTACTCCACCACTTTACCTTCCATTATCACTCACTCTAATTATCCTCCCATTCACAAATCTTTCCTCTCTCTTTCCTTCTGTCCCACTTCATAAGTGCTAGAAAATTATTACAAGAAATATAAACAAAAAGAGTAAGCCGCACATAACTTGAAAATTCGAAAAAAAAAATGAATTAAAGAAAAGCAATATAACTCGATACAATAGCACCTTGGGTACAGAAAAGAGAGAGAGAGAGAGAGAGAGAGAGAGAGAGAGAGAGAGATAGAGAGAGAGAGAGAGAGAGAGAGAGAGAGAGAGAGCGAGAGAGAGCGACAACACTGAATAAACTGTTTCCATTGATCTTTATGAAAGCACTTTAGGCAGGAAGTCTATCAGCCACCACATCCAGTGCTATGTAAAAAAATAAGAAGAGACTAGATGGAGGACCTGGGTAAGCCTATATTACAGTGATAACATGAGTAGCATTAACTTCTTCCTTTTTGAAACTGGCTGCTAGGATACCAAAGCAATTTCTTTGGTGAAGCAAAATGCACTGGATGTAGGTTGGCGGCCAACTTTGTTACTCATCTCCATAGGAATTTGTGGTTCGTTAGCATGACTGTACCAACGAGGATCTGCCTACAGTTCTGCAACAGGCTGGTGAGTGGGGGCTATTACAGCTCAGGAGTCCCAAAGGCCTGTTATCCTGGGTGTAAAGGGAGCAAAATAAACACAGCAGAAAACCTTTTAACTTATATATCCTTCACCAATTTAGAACAGAAGTATGTACACTATATACACTATGTACAACAATAGGTATTAGTGCACTCCACGGTAAACAAGGCAGAATAGAAGCCACTAGAGAGCAGACCGTGCTTCAACCAGCTCTAGAATGGGAATGACAAGGGCAGACAGGTGAGTGGTACCCATATTACATCTGAGATTGCCAAAACCATCTTCTCATTGGCTGGAACCTGGGTACTGATTGAACGACGGGGCCCCATCGTCAACCCTTAGCCCCTGGCTCGCTGGTTGGGGGAGATAGCCTGTAAATGAGGGTGTGTACATTCACCGAATAAAGGTTACGTACTCTTTGCATGCCACAGGGGCACAAAAAATAAAGCAATTATCGGTTGTTACATATTTATTACTGTTATGGTATTTCTTGTTCAGTTCTTTGGCGTAGTATTGCCCAAGGGTCATATTCGGTGGTGGTTGTGTGTTTTCATAGGTTCTGTGAGCCAACCAGCAGGGAATTGCTGTCTACGTCAATGGTCAATACCAACTTTATACCATACTTTGCAGGTCTATTTAGGATATACATACAAAATGAGCATCTAACCGTGAAACCTAGGTGTTCGTCCAGCTTAATATTGTCCTCTGGAGTGTTATACTTCCCACACTTGCCATTCAAGCCATTCCTTATTGTTCTCAGCGGAGAAAATCTGTGCTGTGTCTTGCTTGACTAATTGCAGGAGCTTCGAGACGTAAACAGGATAACAGACAAGCAAACCGGCCCCCAGACAGTGCTGCACGATATACCGTAGTACTCCACTTGGAGTTTTACATTTCGAAAGATGATTGTCTTTTTGGCAGTCACTAAATATAAGAACTTAGAGTGCAGCACATATATTAGCACGTGTTGTCCTGTGTACAGTAACACTACTATTTCGACATTTGGCAGCTTCCACATCTATAGGAACGTTGGTGTGCGTCACAATTTCTTTAATTATTTCATCATCAGTGTACAGTGCGAGACATTTGAATGGAGTAGCAGTATTCCTAGGTTCTGGTGTTAGTCCTGTGGAACGTGAAAGTATTAGGTTTTGTCTTGCTGTTCTTGCTGAGGCGATGAATGTGATGTATATTGAATTAGACACATGTGCAACTCTTGGGTATCTTTATTGAGGAAACGTTTCGCCACACAGTGGCTTCATCAGTCCATACAAAGGAGAAACTTGAAGAACAGGAGAATGAGGTAATCAGTCCCTCAGCCTTGAGTCGATGTGGTCAGTCCATCAATCTTGAATAGAATACGGCATATGAGCGGAGAAGCAGCTTATAAACCGTAGACAGGTGAGGGGCAGCAGTTGTAGGTGATGTCACATTTGTCCAATGTGGAAGTAGGTCGTGCCCAAGGGTTAGGCAAGTGAAGAATTCCCAAGTATTAAGATCCCAAGAAGTTGCAGTGTCTGACAGGATTGTAGGATTGTAGGCTGAGGGACTGATTACCTCATTCTCCTCCTGTTCTTCAAGTTTCTCCTTTGTATGGACTGATGAAGCCACTGTGTGGCGAAACGTTTTCTCAATAAAGATACCCAAGAGTTGCACATGTGTCTAATTCAACAACATGTCGGTTCTCTGAACCATTCATCTACAATGTGATGTATAACTCCATCTGCGAACATTTATGTTATAAAAGTTATAGCTGAGGAAGAATCGTCATTTTCATTATATCGTCGCTGCCTTCCTTACTACCAGTTGGAATGCAGCAGGAGAGGCAGCATAGCCAGCAGGGGTCGTAGTAGGGGCAGCAGTAGGCCGCCTTGTGTAAGTTTTGTGAACAGTAATTCCAGCTGAAGTCTTAGCTTCAACGTTTTCATTATGAAATATTTCCTCTGCTTCAGTACCATCACTGTAATCATCGTCACTACTGCTTTTGTCCACCATTTCCTCAGTTTTCTCCTGGGACATAACTTTATAGACATAGTGGGTATACTTTAGTTTGCTTACCTGTTTACATGTCTCATCCTGAGAGAAAAATAAAGATAACACGGGTGATAAAAATCTTATTTAAAAGTGTCATGCAGTTTCACAGCAGCTTACAAACACTAGCGTGGGGTAGAGTACATCCCAATCAAGCATTACG